CTGCTGGGGGAGTGTCTGCAGCGCTTGCCCTTAGGCCAAGGGGCCGCTGGGGAGGTGCTAAGTGGGGTGAGGCCTTCAGCCACCCAGGGTCCTAGGGGGACACACCCTTGCCTGGGCTGGGGGGCGGTAACCAAGCACTGGGCGGGGGTTGTTCCAGATGGGACTGGGCCCTCCCAACAAGGCCAGGCTCTCCGGGCCTCCACCTGGACCTCACTGCCAGCTTCTCCGGGGGACGAGGGACGAGGGACGCAGCTCACAGGCCGGGGCGGGGCCGAGCCTGGCGTCCAGCACCCCCAGGGCCCTTCCGACCCGGCCGCCTGCCCCAGGGTCGCGTCCTTCCTGGCACCCCCTCTGGGCCCCGTCCGCCCCTCCTCCAGGCTGGTGGGCATCCAGCCGGGCCTCTGGCTCCAAGCCGTGACCGCAGACCAGGAGTTCCCGGGCTGCTGAAACTGCCTCGGAAGCTTCTAGACCTGGGGTGGGCGGCCCTCACACCCTGCCACCCACTCTGGGAGGCCTGCCCACCCCTGGACACGGACCCGTCTTCCCAGTGGGGTCCCCGGGCACAGCCAGGCGGGCACAGTGGGGACCTGGCAGGTGCTCTCAGCTCCGCTCTGCCTGGGACAGGGGCTGGGGCCTGGCATGGGTGCGGGGGCATCAGTGAGCCCCCGGGCCACAGTGCACAGGCTGCGGGAGAAGCCCAGCCCCCAGGGCACGGGGTCCTGCCCCACTAACTACCCTTCCTGGGCTTCAGGTTCCCCAGCCTTGCTGGAGTGGGTGAAGCCTCTGAGTGAGTGGGGAAAGCTGTAGGGTCATTCTGTGCTTCCCCAGCCGTTCCATGGTCCCCAAAGTCCCCAGACCCCACTGTACCCCACGCCTCCTGCAGCACCTCCCCATGGCCTCTCGGGGCAAGTCCGGGCCTATGGGCAGAGGCACGCTGTCCTCTCAATGACAAGTCCACGCGGCAGACAAAGGGCCTTTCCCCCAGCCTTGGGCCTCTGCCGGGCACTGGCGTCACGGCGCCCGACCTGCACGTCTTCCCCGGCCACACGAGGGGGCTGCTGGGCTCAGGCGCGTCCTATCTGGGCCGGTCAGGCAGCGGCAGAGCAGCGGGAAAGGCTTCTGGGAAAAGCTGCTCCTCCCGAGTGAGGTCCAAGTGTCCAGTCCTTTAGTCATTCAACAAACATTCCGCTGGGGCCTGCCCACTGGGATCCACCCTGTCCCTGCTTGTCACTGGGTCCTGGGGGGTCCTATGCTCCACACACTGGCTACAGGGCAGGTGGGGTGGCGGTGGGGGTGTCTGGGCTTCAATTGAGCTTCCAGATGTGGAGAGGGCAGGGTCTGCCTCTCAATATTCTGTCCCCAGATGGGCATTTGTCCGAAGCATCACAGGGCCTGTGACCCCACAAAGGTTTAAGAATGGGGCCCTCTCCCGTCCAGCCCCAAATGGACACCCAGGAAGACACAGGCTTGCAAGGGACAGGCCTCAGCCACAGGCCCCCAGGGCAGCTCAGTAGGCCCAGGACAGGGAGGACTGCCTGTTTCCAGGGACAGGGTGACCAAGGTCCAGGCCTGTCTTGCCTGCCCAGCCTAGAAAGTGGCAGCCCCAGGCCCCTGGCGCGTGGCAGCGGCTCAGCCCTGTGCAGCGGGCCCGCGTCACGGCCTCGAGGCTGCCCCTGCCCTGGAGCAGCTGCCTGCCTGGCCTCCTTGGAAGGGACAGCGACACAGAGGACCATGCCCAGGGGTGGCCATTTCCAAAGGGAGCCTGGTTCTGCTCTGGGCACAAACTCATTCGGGTCTCGTCTCACGTCACCCGATGCGATGCTGGAGCCAGAAGCTGGCGTCCCGCCCCAGGCCGCTGCACTGCACCCCCTGCCCCCAGAGAACCCACGTTCCGCTGGTTCCAACGCTGCACAGTCAGGCCTCCTCGAGGGGCCCTGCGGGAACCCCCACTGCCATCGGGGCCTCCAGGGCCTGGAGAGCCTTCCGTCCGCCCGCCGGTCAGCCCCGCCGCGCCCCAGTGGCTGTCATTGGTCTCCTGGGTCACCCTTCACATGTCCACTGTGTCTTCTGCGCCAGCGGCCGCACCTGCTCTGGTTCCCACACTACACACCAGGAGGCAGCGGCTGGGTCAGGGCCGCCTTCCGGGGACGGGGGGGACAGGGCTGCACTCGTGGGGCCAGAGTCGGGGGCAGAGCCCAACCCCTTGGCCACCTCCAGGCTCTCCCTGGGATCCTGCCCCAGGTGCCTGTCCCATGGCCCTTCCCGCCCCCAGGGGGACCCTCCCTGGCCTCCTTTGCTGTGACCTCTGCCCTCCATGCTTTGAATTGTCTGGCGGGTCCTGTGAGTCCGAGGCCACCCTGCCGCCGTTTCCATGAAGTCTCCTGGATTGCAACACAGCTCTCCCAGCACAAGGAGACAGGGTACAGCTGAACTGGGAAATCTGGGCGGAGGGAAGGGGAGGGGCCAGGGCCAGGGCCCCCGTGATCCGCCCTAAGCCCGCAGTGCTCCAGCCACTCCTCAGGCCTCTGCTGGCCCCAGATGTCCCATCCCGCTGCCTGTGTCCTCAGAGGCTGCCTGGGTCCCCACAGGGGAGAGCTGCTAGCCTCGCCCACAGCCCTGGTTTCCACTCATGACACATACGAGGCGCCCCCCCTGGACCCCTGCTGGACCATGACTGCGTCTGTGACGGACGGAGCCAAGCGCCCATGGGAGCCAGCACCACAACGCACAGGGCAGCAGCTGGTGAGGGGAGGGCAGCCTCGGGGACACGTGGGGCAGGCCGGCAGGCCTGGGGAAGGGGCTGCAGGAGGGAGGCTGCGGGAGGGAGGCTGCGGGGGGCCGGCTCAGGCCCCCGTGCTGTGCTGGAGGGGCTGGGGCAGTGGGGTGGCTCATGCTGTGGGCCACGGGGGCCTGGGGCTTCCAGGCTGGGACCCGGAGCTTGGGCAGAGCAGACCAACACAAAGCTCACAGAGCAGGGGGCAAGGGGGATGGGCACACGGCAGGAGACCCAGGGCCACGGCCGGAGCAGCCTGGAGGATGGAGTTGTCATAGCCCATGCTGGGGTCTGGGAGGGGCCGGGCCACGCCCGAGACTGGCCAGAGGTCCAGGCTGGGTTGGGGGAGGAGGGAGGGTGGCTGACCCCTGAGCAGCCGGGTACAGACGGGCTCCCAGGGCTCCGGGCCACAGCAAGGGCGTGTGGTCTGGACACCTGTGCTGCCAAACTAAAGGGTGTGGCCCCTTGTGTGGACAAGTGGCCTCCAGGTAACTTTCTGGCTTGTCTCATGGGACCACGTGACCAGGCTACCGGGCCCCCCGGCTGAGGGGCTGCGTGTGAGTGGGCAGGAAAGCCGCCTACCTGCTGGGGGGCCGCTGGGGGGCCAGCTGTGGCCTCCCAGGGCTGCCGCTCTGGTGACAGGCCTGACCGTGGGGACGCGATGCTGTGACAGTGGGCACGGCTTCCTTCCCGCCCAGTGGGCCGCATTTCCTTGCACCTGGGGCCCGGGGCCCCCTGGGCCGGGATGGCCGTGTGAGGACTTGTTCTGGGGAGGGGCGTGTGGCTCTCCCGCGTGGCCCCGGAGGGCTGTGTGGGTGCCGAGGGCCGCTGCAGGGCCCGCTGAGGAGGGGGCTTGTGGGAGCCCCAGGACTGGCCTCCAGAAGGGGCTGGAGGGAGCTCAGCCAGGACGGTGGCCCAGGCCTCTGACGCCAGCACAGCCGGGTGGCCGTGCGCGGGGGCGCGGCTCTGTCCCGTGCTCCTGCTTCCTGGGTAAGGGGGCTCGCTGAGCGGCGCAGGGCTGGGGGGCCACCCACTGGGCAGAGGGAGAGGCAGTGAAGGTGAGATTTCTCCAAGCCCAGGCCCTGGGGAAGGGCGCCAGATGTCCCCTTGCAAAGGCCCCTCCCAAACCCACGTGGCCACACCTGTGCCCTGGGGTTCCCGCCCGTCGACACGTCGCTGAGTGCTGGCTGTGCTCAGCCCCGGGAGCCAAGGCGCAGGCCTGGCCTTGCACCCCCCCACCCCTGAACGCGGGGTCGCCGGGGCAACCAGGCTGCCCGTCGGCGCCGAAGGAGCTCCGTGGCCAGCTCCAGACGCCCTCACCAAAAATGCAGTCAACGGGCTGCCCCTCTCAGTAGAATCAAGGAGCCTTTCCGGGTCCTTCTACGCCCCCACGTCTCACGACGTGGACATGGCATCAGCTCCCACCGGGTCAGTAAACCCGTGAGACCAGCACTGCCCTCCACGGGCCCACGGGACTGGCCATCACCTTCACGCCATCGGGCACACTGCGCAGACGGGCCAGGTCAGGGGCACCACCGGCTCCCGGGGGGTTGTAGGAAACCAGGGGTAATGGCTAGAGGCAGCTGGGGACCAGGATGCAAACCACCACGGGCCTCGGAGACGGCCATGCCGCTGGGAGGGGGCCCGACGCCCGGATGCCTGCCAGCCCTGTCCCTCCCAACACCCCTGTCCCACCGAGAGCCCCTATTCTTCCGGGTACGTCTGTCCTTGTGAGCCTGTCCCAGACGCACAGGGTGTGCAGAGGGCAGCTCGTTTGTGGCTCTGGGTATCGCCGGCCGGGGTGGGCGAGTGGGCTGGTGCTCAGAGGGAGCCCCTCCCTACCTGGGGGTGCGCCGCTGGCAGCCCCCCAAACACCACGTGGCCCTGACATGGCCATGGAGTGGGGTCCTGGGGCCCAGCTGCAGCACCACACCGTGTCACCGGACAGAGGGCCTGCGGCGGCCACCACGCTGCTAAGAAATACTTCACGGCCACCGTCAGCACCAGCGAGAGTGACTGAGTGACACCTGCCTCTGGCCCGAGAGACGCAGAGGCGGCCAGGCCCGAGGCGGGTCTGTGCACCTCTCCACCGCAGAGCCTTCACACGGAGCCCGCTCAAGCCCCCCGCTACCGGCCCGGGGGGTGGCCCGTCACAGACCCGCCTGGGCTACTCATGGCCAAGTCACTGGCCTGAGGCCAACGCTGCCCTCAGCCCCCTGGGGCTAGGATGGGTCCTGGCCAGTGGTGGTCAGAAGGGGCCTGCCAGGGAGCTGGGGACACCTGGGCCGCTACACAGCTGCTGCACCGATGTCCCCGAGGAGGAGTCTGGGGACCAGAGGGCACGGGCCTGAACGCGCCGCCCATGCTGACAGCCGTTAGCTGGGGTGTCTGAACCCCGCGCGTGCAGCCCGCACTGAGCGGGGCCGTGGGGCGGGCGGGAGGGGGCAGCAGCCCAAGCACGGGCAACAGGCGGATCTCGGCCCAGGGTCACGGGGGACGAGCCGGAAGAAGTCAGCCCGGCTGCCTCGCTGAACCCCGCCCAGCGACCCGGCTCTCTCCTGGAGGTGACTGCAGACGGGGGTCCTGCCCACCGAGACCGAGACAAGCGGGTGTCCTCAGAGAGGGGGCCCCATGCTCGGGCCCCAGGCTCCACGCCCGACATCGCCCCGCAGCCTCCAGGGCTGGCCCCGTGACGCTCGCCCTCCCCGCCGTCCCACGGCTGGCTTCGCGGGCGCGTGTGAGGTGCTCGCGAACATCTGCCGAGCGAGTGGTCTATTTTAAAAAGCCGGCGTATTAGGTAAACCCATCGGGGTCCTAAAAACATGTAGTAGTTTCCCTGGATTAAAACACGTCTATGGTTTTCTAAAGCGGAAACGTACTTTCAAATGAGAGAACGCTTTCAGCCCAGTGGTAAGATCCAGAGTTTATTCCTCGCGGGAGAACAGACTCAGATGCAGCCACGCCACACCGGCGTCCACAGGGGCGGGCCAGGCCGCAGCCCGAGGCCCCTCCGGCTCTGACCGCGGGCTCTGGCCGTGCGTGGTCTCGGCGGGAGCTGCTGGGCCGCCCCGCACGGCACATGTCCACAGCGGTGTGCCCACGCGCACGGTGCGGGGGTGGGGGTCCCTGCTCCCCATCCAGGTGCAGGCTACAGGCCCTGGGGCAGGACCCAGGATGAAGGCCCAGCGAAGGGGCGTCACGGCACCCCAACAGCAGATCGTAACCGGAAGTGTCCACCCATCACCGAGCATACAGGGGACAAGGGGCGGCCACCAGGGGCTCTATCCAAGTGCACACGCGGGACGGGGGCGCTGGTGCCGGCAGACGGGCAGGGTGCTCCTGCCAGGCCCTCGGGCGGGAGGCCAGGAGCCTTCGACTTCCGACACGAGTGTCTCGGGAACAGGCCCTGGCGCCAGCCACGCGCTCCACTGAGGTTAGCGAGCACGCTGAACCCACTTCCCTTTGGGGAACGCCCGTGTCTGTCGGAGGTTAGGGCCCCCAGAAATGCCTCGGCCGCCCTGGTCCGGGCCCCACACTCGCTGTCCATGGTCAGCAACCCGCCCTGCGTGGCTCCTGGATCACCTGGGCTCTGCTCGCTCCAGACGACACTAAGAGCCAGCTCGCCTAACCCTAAGGTGCACGCACATTCGGGAAGTCCCGGGCCTTGCTCGGTGGCGGCCCTGGCAGGCCCCAGGAGGAGTCTGCTCCGCCACCTCACCCACTGGCCCGGCCCACCGGCCTGCAACCCATCCTGCGCACTCAGACCCCAGCTGCCACCCGCTGCCCCCTGTGGGAAAGGCAAGGCCCACGGTGACCGGGGTGCAGGGCCGACTGACCACAGCTGCTTGATTTCACGGGGGGTCGGGGGGCCAGCCCGGGGCAGACGGCATGGGGCGGAATCAAAGGTGAGCAGGGGAACCAAACCGTGCGGTACCTGGTCTCGGGGGTCCGGCCGAGTCCTTCGGGGTGGGGGGCGGCGGCAGCAGGGTGCTGCTGGGGCTGCTGATGTGCCCCTCCCCCGTGAGCGTCAGGTCGGCCACGAGCTCGCCCTCCACGGTCTGCACGCCCCCGGCCTCCGCTTCCGGCGTGTGGTGCGTGGGGGATGTGGGGGTACAGGAGACCGGGCTGCCGGCCGGGCTCTCGGGGTGCCGGGCAGGCCCCCACGGCTCTCGGGGCTGGGGTGTCTTCTCCTTGCTGAGGGCCTGGGCCTTGGCCGTGGCCACGGCCGGGCAGGGCCCCGCGGCCCCGGGGGGCAGACGCAGGAACTCGGGCAGCACCAGGTCCTCCTTCCTCAGCAGCCCGCGCTGGTCGTCGGCTCTGTTGCTCTGAGCTTTGGAAATGAGCTCAAAAAACGCTGCGGGGGGAAGCGCGTCGCCCCGTGTCAGAGAGAGTGCGCTCGGGCACGCCACAGCTAACGCGCACCTTCTGGAACGCCTCGCCTCGTCTCTGTCCTGCTGCCCCGAAACCTCGGGCCTCGGCCAGGAGGCATCTGCACCCCCACCCAGAACCGCGGGGAGGCCTGGGCTTCTAGAACAACCCGGAACAGCTCTGTGCCTCCCTGAAGACGCGGGTGCGGGAAGTCTAGGCTCGGACCCTCTCGAAGCCCTGACCTAACTCGGCCGTGTGCTGACGGTGCTTCGGCAGCACGCTCTGTCCCCTGCGGGCCGGCGGTGACACGGGCAGGCAGTGACGGGCCAGGCACCACAGCCCGGGAGCTGGGTGAACCTGGGGGGGGCGCAGCACAGGAAGGACAGAAGGCCTTGGCCATACAACCCCGAACCCGGGGCCTCGTGGGCCACCCCCTCTGTGACTCCAGACGGTGCCACGCCCTCGCCTCTCCCTCCCCAGCCCACAGCCCCTCTGGGCCTCCCACCTCCCCGGCAGCCCTGACGGCCCGCTGTACACCCCCAGCTTCCTCACTGGCCCCTCCTGAACACCTTTTTCTTACCTGGACGGCTTTTCAATTGTAAGTCAAGGTCACCAAAGTAGCAGGTGCCTAATCTGAGCTTCCCCAGCATTTAAACCACACTCTGAGATTTTGAACAACCGGGAGTTTGAAAGCTCAAATCTTAATGTTTCTCAGAAATGTGCAAACTCCAGAGGTAGGTGTCTGTCTCACACCCGACACGGCCGAAAGGAGGTGGGTTTTAAGGGTGGAAGTCACAGGAGCTGTGACAAGCTGACTAGGAATTACCCCCGGGTTAAAATTCAGGTCACGGAAACAGCTATTAGTTTTGATTCTGCTTTTCGTGCTTCTCTTGGTTATAAGCTTTGGAAGAGAAAGAAGTTCCCATCAAAGACGCCATCTCTCCCCCAACTCGAGCTCACGCCCTCCCGCCCGCCACCTCCTCTCCCGGCACCAACTGACCCTGTACCCCAGCTGGGGGCAGAGGGGGAGGGCGCAGGCTGGGACCACCGAGCTGCTGCCCCGCCCCCGCGGGTGTCCCCTGACGCCTAGGGTCCCGGCTCTCAGGCTGAACACTGGGTTTCAGTAAAGTCGTGCCAACGGCCGCAGTGACACAGGGGAGCACATTCTCAGTGCAAGTCACAGTCACCCTGTTGTTGAGCATTCAGAGAAAGTTCCAACGATTACACTAAAAACTGACATCGCATTCACTAAAAAACGTGCAAGTTTAAAAAGTACACGTACCCTCTGCTTCGTCCAAATTAATTTTCTGATTTTTTTTTTTCCCAATCTTTGCAATAGATTCTTCTCTCTTTGAAAGCCGGGGATCCCTAGCATTTTTTCCATTTTCTCCTTTTATTTTAATAGAATTAGACTTGCCTAGCGTCCTCTCCTCTCCCTGCATCAGAAGGAAAGCCAAAGTTCTGCTCGTGGTTCAGACACAGCACAGCGCACGCTCAGTCGCCGGGCGCAGCGGGAGCGTCTCTGACGGGCGTGCAGGCTCAAACGGCAGAGCGCGTCAGGCCACGGGGGAGGCAAGCCGGCGAGGTCACAGGAGGCGACGCCCAGGGGTGCGGGCCGGCCCCGAGCAGAGAGCGGGCAGGCGCCAGTGGGTGACACACAGGCTCACTGGGGGACAGCGGGCAGCCGGGGCGGGGGAATTACCATAGCCGAGAGGCTTCTGGAGCTGGAACTTGCAGCTGCGTTCTGTCTGGCCGGCGCACCTCTCTGTTTATCTGTGGACACTGAACAGAGAGGGACAGCTTTACCGTAACGGGGAGTCGCAAATCCACCTGAACCTTTAAGTAAAACCCCGTCCATGCTGACTCTGGGAGCAAAGCTGCGGAGAAGGCAAAGGTATTAGATACCCTTATCTAACGTGCACTTTGCCCAGCGTGGGACAAAGGGACAGGGCCAGCCTCTTCTGCCTGCGCCTGGGGCAGGACGCACCCTGCGGGGCGGGGTGGAGGGGCACAGGGGCTTTACTCAGTTTACTGGCGCTCTCTTTGGAGGCGTGGAGAGTGAAAAGCTCATTTCGTGGGCTTCCTGGCACGAATATTCTTTAGAAAGTAGTCACTTATTTTCAGATCCGGCCGCGGCCTCGCGTCCTTGGGCTGGTGTCCGGACCCCTCCGGCCTGGCAGGAAGCGCGGCGCCTGCCCACGAGCAGCTGCTCGCGCACCGCACCCTGCCCGCAACTCCACTGTGGACTCACCCCTGCACAAGCTGGCTGGGGGTCCAATGGGGCGGCCCCCCAAGGGGGCACTGTGACCCCACACCCTGCCGGTGCCGGGCACCAAGCAGGCGTTCTCTAGAGCCCAGGGAGGAGAGGCAGGCACTGGAGCCCCGAGGCAGAGGGGCCAGCACCAGAGCCACCGTGGCCGGTCACCCGATGGGACAGACACTCAGAGCTGAGCCAGCCCTGAGAAATCATGTGGTCCACAGCCCTGGCTGGGTCCAAACTTCGGAATACCTCAGGTAGCTCCTCATGAAGCCGCCTCCACACCCAGGAAACTAGTAGGTGGTTCCAGAAAGTTCTCTCCAGGAGATACACACCCTCCTACCCTCTGCCTGAAAGTCTCCAGGGCATGGGGGACCTGGCTGAGCCCCAGGTGTCATGCTGCCAGCCCTGAGGCCAGGTGAGAACTGTGGGGCCCGTGTCCCCAGGCAGGATGTGGCTGAGGTGGCATGTGGGAGGGCTCTGTCCACACACAGGGGACAATGGGACTGCAGACGCCACTCGACACCCCGGGACCCTGTGCCCCTTGTGCAGAGAGACCTAAAGGCCCCAGGAACAGAGCTTGCTCTAGTCAAAGCATCCAGACGCAGCCTGTTGGAACCTTGGCGCGGTCCCGGTGGGGGAGCAGTCGGCAGGGCCTGTCACCTGAGAAGACAGGTGCAGGGACGTCCCGGCTCACCTGGAGGCATGCGGCTCCAGAGAGACGCCCTCCCCGGTGCACCTGCCACGGTCCGGGGCTGGGCCCGTCTAAGCCCCTCAGACGCCCCGTGGGGGCTGAGCCCTGCCATGGCAGGGGTTCACCAGGCCCCATGAGACCCCGAACTCAAGGGAGGCCATCTGTGCCGGGCAGCAGGGTGGGGGCTTTCAGGAGGCAGAGGAGGGGACACGTCGGTAGGTCACTCACCTTTTCCTCTGGAGGGTTCCTTCTCCTCCAAGATGACACGCTGTCCGTCCAGACTCGATATGGGGGCGCCAAGGTCCAGGGGCTCCTTCTCGCCACTCTACAGACAAAGACGGTGCACTGAGTCACTCGCTCAGACCGGAACGTTCTGGACAGCTGCATGTGGTCCAGCCACTGAGAACCAGGCCGTCCCAGGCTCTATGGAGTCACACGCTGAGTGACCCCAGGCCCTGCCACCTTGGAGGGCTGCCTCAGAGAACGCTCCTGAGGTGCCCAGCCCCAGGGGCCTGCGGCTACTCACAAACTCCTGACGTGGAACAGCGGGAGTTCAAGCCCTGGCTGGCCTGCCTGGAAAGCCAGCGACAGCTGCTGGCCCGCCCGTCACCAGTCCGAGACCCAGGGGGCAGAGCACGAGAACATGCGGTGGCTGCACAAGCACCTCACGCACAAGGCTCGGCCTCGCTCATCACCTGGACACGGCGACCCTAGCAGCCCACCCCATGCACCCGCAGACCCTGCTCGGGGTGAACGCCGACAGCAGGAACCCCTCGGAAGGAAGCGGGCGGACTGCGGAGTCCTGCCCGGCTCTGTGGGGAGACCACCTGCTGCTGTTCAGGACCCACAACCGTGCTTTAAAAAGACGACTTGTAGCTTGGCTTCCTAAATTCCCTGACAGGCAGGAGAACAATAACAGTGACCAAGTGCCACGTCGGGAGTGACCGCCACCTCCCTGAGGGAGGCTGGCACCCCGGAGCTCCGCCCAGCAAGGAAGCAGCCTCACCCCGACACCCGCTTAGGTGCACACACAGTCGGTGGGGGTCGGCTGGTGTGTCCATGGGAAAGCCACGGACACAGCCCATCTCACGGGGACCCTCCACACCGGGAGCCCCGAGGCAGCCAGGGGCCGCAGGCTGGCAGGGCACCCTGCACACGGGTCAGCCTGGGAGCCCCGCCAAGCCCCAGCGTGCTCCGTGACTAACCCCATTTTACGGACGGGAAAACCGAGGCTCAGAGGGCTTAAGTGATGACAGGGTCTCAACAGAGAAGGAGCGAGGAGGCCCACGCGGGGCCCTGGCCGCGCCCCCCTGTCTGCGCATCTGGACTGTAGGACAGATGCAAAACCTTAACAGGGCCCTCTCATCCACATCAACCACGGATCCCGAACAACTGTAGGGCCCGTTCCAGAGAAATCAAAAGGCTAAAAATATTTGAAACCATCGCTCCGGGAAAGTTTATTTTCTAAAGAAAGGAGCGCAAGGCGAACTCTGTATCGTAAATCACCGCATTTCAAAGAAAACGCGCAGAGCGTGCGGGACACGGTGGTGATTCCAGCACACACGAGGCCACAGGCCCCGGGCTCAACGACCCAAGACGTCCCCGCAACGGGCGCCCTCTGGTCCCGGGGATGGGACACGGCTCTCGTCCGGCACCTGCTTTCCTCCTGTCCCCGCTCACGTGGTAACCCGTGGGCCCCGCCAGCGAGGTTTCTGAGTCCGCCAAGCGCAGACGCAGCGTGGGGAGTCAAGGAGAGGCCCCCGGGCCCGCGGGAGGCACGGGCGGCCGTCTGTCGTGTGCCCAGACTTGCAAATGGCGGGCCTATTTCCAGGTTTTTTTTGTGTGTTTCTCGTTTCAGTTTCCCTGGACCAAAAGCACACATCGAATAGCAGCCCCACCCCTCAGGGAAAGTCCGAGGGACAGAGAAACAGTGAGCGACTCCGCGTGGGATGAGAAAGCGGGAGCAGAGGCGACGCCCACCGCCCACCCACCCAGGGCCCGCATGGGGAGACGCCGAGGACGGTGTGACACGGCTGCTCGGTGGCCCTGGTTACACCACGGCTCGTTTGTGAGGAATTAGAGGCAAACTGTCACCGCAAACGAGGAACACCACCGCAGGCCCCTGCGTCACTCACCAGCCTGGCCACCAGCTCACTCAGGTGCAGGCCGTATTTGGCCACCACGGGCCGTAGCACTTCCGTGACGGGCTTGGTGGGCTTGGCCTTGAGCCCCACTGACCGGTTAATCGGAACCAGATCCAGCCTGGATGGAGAGGGAGGAGCATGAACACTTCAGCTACAAAGGAAGCCAACCTCCACTTAGACGTTCCATCTCAAGAGCAGGCCACCGCGGGGTCACCCGGCTCAGCCCCAGGTCCCGACTGGAAGAAGCCTGCAGGGGCTTCCTGGCGGTGAGCGGGGGCTGACACACTGGCCAAAAGCAGACCCCGTCCTGTAGCACGGCCGGCTCTGCCATCCGGCCCACCCAGCCCTGGCTGTGGCCCCACTGTGCTCCGGGGACAGGAAAGGAGAGCGATCCCCTGGCCCCTTGGGCTCCAGGGGTCGGTGTGCAATACCCCCCTCTTCCGGGTCCACGGCGGGGACCGCACTCCCCTCCCAGTGACCGCTGCGGGGCGGGGGCCGGCAGGGGACAGCGCGGGCCTCTGGGAGCCTCTGAAAGTGGCCGCCACGCGCTTCTCACCGAAACAAGGTCCGCTTCTCCAGGCGCAGGTCTCGCGACGCCAGGACGCTGCTGTCCTGGTGCAGCACCAGGGGCTGGAGCGAAAGGGAGGGGCAGGTCGAGCGGGAGCAGGTGCGCCGCCCCCACCCCCCACCGCACGAACCCACGCCGGTATGGGTGTGAGAGGCCGGCAAGACGGAGCTCAGCCTGACGCTGCCAGGGCGGGGCCTCCCCGGGGAAGGGCCCGGGGGTCGTCAGGCCCATACCTTGTCGCCGCCCGCCAGGAAGAGGTCCACCGCGGCCCCATTGATGCCGTGTCGCTCGCAGAGCCCCACCAGGACCTCCTTGATGGACAGCCCTGCCCTGACGAGCACCACGCAGGACGTCCCGTCGGGGAGCTGGATGCTGCAGTGCTTGGTGGCCTTGTCCCTCTCGGGAGCCAAGGTCCTGCAGGCCTCTGACTGTGGGGAGACGGGCGCCGGGGTTACGGGGCGCGTGCAGGGTGCCCCGGAAGGCCGTGGCTGGCTCAACACGTGTTCGTGCAGGCTCCACACATCGTGATCAGCGTGCAGGGCGCCGCGGTGCACGCAGCCCCGCAGGGCCGGCGTCTGCGCTGACTCGGGAGACAGTGGGACTTTCTCTCCGGTGCCGTGTTCACAGCCTCACCCCCGGTCTGCAGGCCCGGTGCTTACGGGCCCACAAGGAACCGGCTCCCCGCCCAGACGGCTCCTTCCAGGGCCTGGTCTTGGCCTGACCCAGGAGCAGACGAGCTGCTCTCTGGAGCCCACTGAAGCCACAGTGACCCTGAGCTGCCATCGCCCGCCTCAGTCCACAGGACCGAGACCCACCGAGACCCACACTGAGCAGCCCCCTGCGGCGTCTCGCCCACCTCCCAGGCCCCGAGGCCTCTGAGGAACAGGCTGACCCAGCGGATGGCAAGTGGGCCTGCGGGAGGGGCGGGGGGCGCAGTGGGAGTGGGGGGCGCCATCCTTTCCTGGCCGTTGGCAGAGGGCTGCCCAGCCGGCGTGGCCATTTGTGCCCAGAGAATGCCAACTAGCTCTGCCTGGCAGAGGACGTGGCCAAGGTCCTGTGCCCGCCCTCCGGGCACTCAGGACAGGGACACGCCTGCAGGCGGGCAGGTGGCCAGCGTGCGGGGGACGAGCCTTTTCAGATGGCGGCACCTGCGGCCGGCTTCCGTGCACCACTCACGCAGCAGGCGAGGGTGTGGGAGAGGCTTGCGAGCATGTCACCGTCGCCCGGGCCCAGGCCCCACGGCAGAGGCGGGGCTCCTCTGTGGGGGGGCGGGGCGGGACGGGGCCAGCCCGAGGCAGCGCAGTGTGCCGATGGCAAACCCGAGGGGCTCTCCCCGACGCCTCCTCTGGGTCCCCAAGTTAGTGTCACGTCCTCACCCTCTGACGTGCTACTGGCCACACTGGCCGCCTCATTATCACTACCTCCCCTGAAAATCCCTCCACCCAAACGTCATCTCAGAAAACTAGCCTGTAGGTGGCCCCCTGAGTTTGGGGTGGCCCGTCAGGAGCAACAGCGGATGGCTGCACGGTAAACGCTCACGGCTCTAACTGTGGGGCGGTCTAGCGGAAGGAAAACCCATCTCCCACCCTGACCGCTGCGGACGCTTTCAAGCGCCCAGGGTGCTGGCAGCAACGCAGTCTTCCGTCAGGGGCCCGAGGCAGCCGCCGACAGCCGGCAGCGCCCACCCGCTGCCTCCCCGCCGCCCGCGCCTAACCGGGCCGAATGGACGCCTGGGTTCGCAGGGTGGGACAGAGCACAGCGCCAGCCCGGGCCCCCTGTGGGGCTGGGGGGCGAGGAGCTCTCCCAGTACAGCGGCCACTGAGTTCGCAGGGCGCTCAAACGGTGAGGCAGGACAAAGCACGGCCTTCACAGCTTTTGTTTGTTCTCAGTGGGAGTTAAAAACAACAACAATGGTGACTGAATGCAAACAGAAAGATTACAGAAGAAAACCCAGAAATGTTTTCAGTGCTCAAGGAGCACCCTCCCCACCCATCAGGCTTCGGGAGGCAGCGTGGCCTTCGGGCAGGGCTGGGGTGGGGGTGGACTTACCAGGTCCAGGCTCCCTGCAGACGACACGGAGCCCTGCGACTCCCTGCGGCCCAGGCCTCCGTTGGCCTGCAGCGGGGCTTGGGAGGGGAAACGGGGGCTCAGAAAGCCACACGGCGCCAGGTGCTTCTCGCCGAACACGGACACCCTGCTAGTCCGCGCACACTACCCGACCCGCACCCCCTTTAGGCTGCACAGACTGTGCAGGACAGAGGCAGACAGGGAAAGCCTTTGGGGTGCTGGCCCCTCCCTGGGACATGCCCCGAAGCCGAGGAGCCGCCCGCAGCCCCTGGCTCAGAGCAGGTGGAATCGCAGGCGAGTGCTCGGGGGCGGGGCCTCCCCCCTCCCTTTAATGTGGCATCTTCATCTCTGCTTGTGGCTTCTGGGCCTAAACAGACACTGTCTCCTGTGAGGGCAGGGAACACCCAGCCAGCTGGTCACCGCGCCTTTACCAATGGCTCAGGTCACGTTTTCCTGTAAAGTCCTAACGTGAGCCAACCATCACACCCTCCGTCGTCACTAACTGAACTGCGTGTGATCTCAGGCTAACCTGAAAATCACGAGGACTGTGATCTGGAAACCTGGGCTCCGTTTGCAGCCAAGCTGCGGAGGCGGGGCTCGGGGCTCGGGGCTCGGGGCTCGGGCCGTGGCGGGCGTGCCAGCACAGGGACTCCCGGGTCCCACTGAGCTTCCTAACGAACCATGGGCCCACCCTCTGAAAGCCACAGATTCCCATGCAACCAAGTCTGAGCTCCTGGGCAGTGCCTGGGGACCCCAGCGCCCAGGGCCCTGCCCTGCTCAGGTGGACAGGCTGTCCGGGGCGGTTGGCACTCGTCTCCTGGGCTGCACAGCATCCATCCCCAGGGGGTCTCTCAGTGACAGAATCCTACAGCTCTGCCTGCCTGTCCCGTGAGTGGACGCCTGCACCCATCACCCGCAGTGTGGCCCGGGGCCGAGGGGGCCACCTCAGGCCCGCAGCCCTCAGCACCTGCTGTGGAAAGGGCAGGAGAAGCCCGCGCTGCCGGCTGCTCTGAGCAGATGATCACGCACCACAGGCTCCTACGGCACACTCGGTCACTACGGGGCTGCTGCCGGCTCCCCCTCGGGGCTCCCTGCCTGTGCTCCCTCTGTAAGTGCCATTTACACTGGGGGCCCAAGGCCTGGAGCTCTCAGGCCACTTCCTGGAAGGGAATCCCTTTCTTAAGGGCTCTAGAGAAGAAAGGCCTTCCCTGGGTGACAGCTCCACCCTTCCGCACCCTGCTGAGCTGGTGTCAGCAGCCGGCAAAGCGCCCTGAGGCGACAGGCTATCTCCCCCATAGTGGGTTCTCAGTTACTCAGGGGACAGTGTCTAGAACAGTGATCTTTAAGATTTACAATAATAAAAAATGACTATTTTGAAAACGCTTGACAGCCAGACTATGGTATCACATTCTTAAAAAACCGTAAAGGCTGGCGTACCCCGCACGCTCCTAGAACGAGGCGAGGCAGAGCCGCAGAGGCTGCGGGCGCACAGAGGGCAGGCATCTGTGTTTTCTTTTTTACTTGTTGTATTTTCCACATTTCCTCCCAAAGCACCAATGGCAGCTCCCGCAGGACAGCAGGAGAGGGCTGCGTGGAGGGCGGGGTCGGGGAGCGCGGCCTCCCCTTCTTCAGGAGACCCGAAGGCCCCCCCACCACCCTGCGTCCCGAAGGCCACACGGCGAACGGCACAGCGCTGCCCGTCCCCACGTGCCCGCCCGCGCCCCCCGCAGGCGGCCAGACCTGCGTGCCACAAGCCGCCACAAACCGTTCGCGTGGTCGCCGTGGTCCCTCTTCTTCTGGGACCGCCCGGTGCTCCGCGTCCGGGACCAGGAGAAAAAGGCTCCTTTTCGCTTCCTCTCGCTGTCCTCGTCCCCCAGTTCTTCATTCAGGGATCTTCCTGACTTCGATTTTCCACTCAGCTGCCATCAAATGGAAAACGTTGTTAAAACCACAGGAAGTCACTTTAAAGTGACACGAACTGCGAAAGGAAGCTGAGGATGAGCTGTGAATTAAGTGCTCCTCGTACGAGACAACCCGGCAAGGCCAAGGCGTCGCCCCAGCGCGTGTCCAGAGCAGCAGCCGGACCGCAGCCCCAGAGACGGCACGGCCAGGACGGTCCGCTCGCGAGGGAAGCCAGGCCCCGACGTGGTGGCCGGTGGGACATCCCAGGTCCACGGGGCAGCTGCCGTCTAGGAGAGTGGGGCGGGGCGCGGGCACCTTCTTCGGCGTGGACACGTTGGAGTGGTCCGAGCCGACGCTGTGCTTGGAGGCCGGGCTGCTGGGCACCCGCTGAGCGTCGGGCAGGGAGCGGCCCTCCACCTCCGCCAGGATGCACTCCTGGTACAGCGGAGACTTCAGGAAGCGCGTGTAGCTGTCAAACTTCATGAGATTGAAGATCTGCAGGGTAAACGCAACATGGTTTAGCCACCAAAGGAACCGGAATACTCAGCCCTGAAGGCTGGAGGCGGCGGGCGACCTGCAGACACCGCTGGCCCCCTTCTGAAAGGATGCAGTCCCCACTGCCCCCAGCTGCCCGCCCAGGGTCACCCCCCAGAGCCCCTCACATCTGACCACACCGGCCTTTCATTCATCACGCTTAAGACCAGCAAACCCAACAACCCCCACAGAGTCAGGCCGCCAGGAGACCCCGACGGCCAGTGTGCCATCCTGGGGGACACTACTTCACCGGGCAAGAGTGACCCCAAACCAGCTGGAAATCTAAAGGAAGGGAGCACTGTGTTCGACGTGCTGTCCTCTGCTGCTCCCCCACATTATTCACATGACTCAGACAAACACAGTCCCTGGCAAGGCCACTGGGACATGTGCTCTAGATAACGCTAGGTCTGAGGGGCGCTTTTCATCACGGCAATGTCCGAAAGTCGAAAAAATTCCAAATACACCTGCGTCCCCACTGCGAGCCTGTGAGTCCCCGCAAACGCGTATGCACACGTGACCGGACGGGCCATCTGCGGGTGGCCATGCAGCGGTTGAGACACGTCTCACGGCCCCACTGGACCCCCCGCCCGTCTGCCAGGCCCCGAGACCGAGGCCCAGTGGGCGAGACGGCGTATCCCATCACAGCTGCCTCTCCCCAAACCTAGTGGTGCTAGGGAGCTGGCCGTCCCACCGAGCCCTCCACCCCGCCCCGGCCAGGAGTCCCTGTGGGAAGACGAGGTGCAAAGTCACCTGCAGCTGCTGCTCCTTGAACATGTCGGGGTGAGGGGCGCTGAGAATGTCGTCTGCCAGCTGAGCCTGGCTGTCGATGTTGACCGGGGTGGTGGCTTTGCTGCACAGGAACTTGCTGAAGATCTCGCGGGCCCTGTGGGAAAGCTGACAGGACACGTGCGTGCGTGGGACACAGGCGCCCTCCACAGCACGCCTCTGCCGCCTCGCTGTGCCTGACACGCTCCGGTCACTGGAGATGCCTTTTCTTGGGGCCGGTACATGTGTCTTGCTCAGGTAAATGAGTAGAAGTATGAGGCAGCATGAACTTCTCACTGCTCAGCCTCTAACTCTTTCCAGGGGCTGCCGCCACGGGCACCACGCGGGGGGCGCCAGGAGTGTGTGCCCCCCATGCGCGCATGAGCGAGGGCCGTGCTCCTCTGCCAGGAGTTCCTTTCCGTCCCCTCCCTCCCCACACGCCGAGGGGCAGCACATCTGCTGATGAGTTTAATGGCCGAGGCCTTTAAGCAAACTGTGTTCAGGCAAAACTAAATATCGCATGTATTAGGAAACTCATTCTGAAAACACAGTGTGCTCCGAACCCCGTGCAAGCGCTTTGCAGGGACAGGGCGCCCGCCCCCCGCGAGCAGACGCACCTCCTTCTTGTCGTGTGCGGGCACATGGTTGAAGCACTCGCAGGCCTGCCAGAACAAAATGTTCTCTTCGCTGAACTCCTTCCTCAGGAAGTCCTGGGGGAGACGCTGCCGGTCAGCTGCCACACGGCCGCCAGGAAAAGGCAGCGCGGCTGGCGGTTTCGGGGACCTGGCTGCGTCC